TGTGATATTACACCCTTCTATTCAAACTCCATCTGCACAATCCCAGTTCTATAATTCAATTTTGGAATTCTTCTCCACAGTCTCAGATCAAATGCAGTGTTCTCTTGAGGGTCTGTGCCTTTCAACACAGAAAGTCTAAAATTCTCAGCATCCAGGGTTCCAACAGCTAGGATGTAAACAATCTCAGCTGTTGGTAAAATAATCTGGGTTTACATCCATCAGGACAGAATTTTGGGTTTGGAAGGTCAAGATCTAATCTGGGGAAAGTTACAGCTGAAACAAATGTGAGAAGGTGTTTGTTGAACCACTTGAATTTTCCTAGAATCTGCCTGAAAAAAAATTGATATGAATGAGATACCTGTGAAGAACAGGATTTAGTTTTCTGGTTTCTTTACCTTCCCTCTTTTTCAGTTTTCTCTGGCTCTCCACCATCCCTTCCTGCTGTAGTAGCTGTGGGTTTGGCAACTGCCAAAACCATCTTTGTTCTCCCTTCCAGTGTGATCGTGGTGGGCCCTCCAGGCAAATTTCCTGGAGGATGAGCACAAAGCACACTGACCAGAGGAGCAGGCATGGCTTGGCCTGTGGGAACCAGGGCTCAGCACAGGTGTCTTGTGGGTTGGCTTGTTGTCAGGGCTAGGCAACACTTACATGTTAATTGTTTTGCAAAAAGTGTGTAATTAAGCTGCAAAGGCCTGTGGAATGATGCCAAAGTGAGATGTATGGGATACACAGGTTGTGATGTAATGATCTCATCAATGTAAAATTGGGATAACATATGATGGAGGCATAGGTTTTTGCCATTCTGTACAGTGAGCAAGATTTTGATATGCTACATATCTATTTTTATAAATGCTTTGCTGAGCATTTGTATTTTTGTTCATAGTGTATTTCACATCCTTTGGCTCATGAAATCTGTATTTTTGTGCCATTTGTAAACTCTTAATGAATAATGAAAAAAAATGACAGCATTAGGAAAACTCTGAAGTGATGCTATCATCGTATAGTGTAGGCTTAATGCTCTTCAATGGAAATAAATTGCAGAACCCTGTGATTAGGGTGTGCATTTTTTCACTAGTGTAACAGAGATTACTGTTAATTTCTGTTAATTCTGTTAATTTTCTTATCGTATCCCCTACCAGTCATATCTGACCTTTGGGCACTCAATCTCTTGTGGTAAAACAATAATAAGTGGGAAGCACTGTACTTTTGAGAAGGAAAAATGCACTTTTTTTGGTATGTTAGTGGCGTTGTTTTAAAGATAAAGAGTGGGGTAAAGTGCTAAAGGGTCTCTCAGCAATACTTGTGGGTGGCTTGCTGTTATTCTTGAATCCTAGAATCATGAGGGTTGGAAAAGACCCCCGAGATCATCGGGTCCAACCTTTGGCCAAACCATCACCATGCCAACTAAACCACAGCTCTAAGTGCCTCATTGAGCCATTTCTTGAACACTCCCAGGGATGAGGACTCTGCCACCTCCCTGGGCAGCCCCTTCCAATGCTGGACAGTCCTTTCTGTGAAGCAATTCCTGCTGATGTCCAACCTGGACCTCCCCTGGTGCAACTTGAGGCGATGTCAGTTTAGGAAGAGCCCCTCAGGTTGGGAAGGATGCTGAGATGCTCGAGCACATCCAGAGGAGGACAATGAGGCTGGTGAGGCACTAGGAACACAAGCCCTGTGAGGAATGTTTGAAGGAACTGGGGCTGTTTAGCCTGGAGAAGAGGAGCCTTAGAGGTGACCTTATTGCTCTCTGCACCTTCCTGAAGGGAGGCTGCAGGCAGGTGGGGTCGGTCTCTGACAGAACCAGAGGACACAGTCTCAAGCTATGTCACGGAAGGGATAGGTTGGATATTAGGAAAAAATTTTTCACTGAAAGAATAATAAAGCACTGGAATGCTCTTCCCAGGGAGGTGGTGGAATCACCATCTCTGGATATGTTTAAAAAAAGCCTGGACATGGCACTTGGTGCTATAGTCTGGGTGAGGTGTTAGGGCACAGGTTGGACTTGATGATCTTAGAGGTCTCTTCCAACCTCATTATTCTGTGATTCTGTGTGATTCTTTGTCCTCTCTCATCCTGTCCCTGGTTGCCTGGGAGGAGAGGCTGATCCCCACCTGTCTCCACCCTCCTGTCAGGCAGTTCTAGAGAGTGATAAGGTCACCTCAAGCCTCCTTTGCTCCAGGCTGAACACTTACAGTTTCCTCAGCTGCTCCTTCAGACCCTTTATGAGTTTTATTGCCCTTCTTTGGACACATTCCTGCGAGGCCCAGAACTGGACACAGTGCCCAGTAGAGGGGAACAGCCACTGCCCTGCTCCTGCTGGATATTTCTGACCTGCACCAGGTGCCATTGGTCTCCTTGCCCACCTGGCTCACGTTCAGCTGCTGTTGACCAGCACCCACAGCTCCTTTTCCTTTTCCAGTCGCTCCTCTCCCAGCCTGGAGCACTCCATGGGCTTGTTGTGACTCAAGCACAAGACCTGGCACTTCACCTTTCTGAACCTCATCCTGTTGGCCTCATCTCATCCCTCCAGTGTGTCCAGATCCCTCTGCAGAGCCCTCCTACCCCCCAGCAGTGCAACAATCCCGCCCAACTTAATGTTGCCTGGGAACTTCCTGAGGACACCCTTGATCCCCTCACCCAGACCATCAATAAAGATAACAAACAGGTTGGTTTATTATCTTTAAATAATGTTTATTTAAAGATAATAAACACTGATCCCTAATGACTGTCCCCAGCTGGACATGGCACCATCCCCACCACTCTCTGGGCCCAACCAGCCAGCCTGTTCTCAACCTTGCACATGTCCAAGGCATGGCCTGCCAGCTTTCCCAGGAGAATATTTGGGAGACATTCTCAAAGGCTTAGCTGAAGTGTTTGTTTGCAAGTAATTGTATTTCTCACAGTCTGATTTTTTCATAAGGTATCTTTGGAGGTACTCTCCCTTAGGGCTGATTGATTTAGGGCTGCATAAAATCCAGATTGCTTCTGTTTGGATTTCTGCTGTGCTTTATATGACTACAACCAGTCTTATATAGGTATTATTTTATTCCTAAAATTTAGCCTTTACTTAATAACAGATGGGGAATTTTTTTTTCATTTTTTGGGTCTTTTTTCTTTTGGTCTTTTTTTTTTTTTTGTCTCAAAAATGAATAATTAAAGCAACTTGATTGGAAATTTGAAAATCTGTCTTCTGTATACACTGGAATAAAGTGAAGCTTATGAAAAGATAGATACTTCACATATAATGGGGAAGATGTCTTTGTCAGTCATGCAATAAAGTTTCTGAGTGTGCTCTCTGTCAGCTTCACATTTAAATGTTATCAATCCAGGTGATCTGTAAGTCATGCAACCAAAGTTGAGACAGCAAAAATCTTCTGTTGTTGAATGTGCCTTTGAGTTGATATGTTGTATTGACTCAGAAGTGGCAGAAGGACATTGTTAGAGTGATGAAGGTCATGAAAGACCTTGATTAAGGTGATAAAAGACCTTGAAGGCAAGATGTGGAGGAAGTGGCTGAAGTCCCTTGGCTTGCTCAGCTTGGAGAAGAGAAGGTGAGTGGTGCCCTCATGGTATCCCACACCTTCCTCACAGGGACCCTCACTTTATTAAAGGGGAGAGGTGAGGGTCCTTATCACGCCTTGAGGTGTGCACAGAAGTGCTCAGAAATGTAGAAAACATGTTTTTCTCCAAACTGGACTGATTTTTAACTTCCTGCTCTGGCATATTGGAAGTGTTCCTCATTGTTGCTACTGGAAAAGTCCCTCATCTGTGATGGCTGTTGTAATGAGGTTACTGCTAGATGGATTTTGGGATGGTTGGAGGTAGTGGTTCATCAGTAGGCTGAGATATGAAAGAATAACAGCTAATCTAGAGGCAGGAGGAGCAGCTACTGGTGTGTACCAGTACATGCTGTGGGGAGCTCTCATTGTGGCTTTCCTGTTGGTTTGAATTGGTTGTCTCCTCCTTCATCAAGTGTGTTCAGCTGTTGATAGATTCAGAAGTGCAATGTTTTCCTGCCTGCCCTTTTTTCCATGTTTCCTGGTTTGCACAGTTTTTGGTAGGGAGCTGTAGTGCTTGGTGCCATCCTAACAATTCTCAAGCACACAGTACGTCCTTCAGTTGCACCTCCATGTGTTGTGTCTGTCTAGTTTCTACCAGGATGCTGAATTTATGGCAGTTTTAAACAGATGCTGGCAGTCAATATCTTTCCATAGGCATAGAATAAAAGAAAATCTGCTGCAGTGGAATGCCATCATCACACATAGGTTGCAGCATATTGTATAATTTTCTTAATGCTTCAGTAACTCTGGAGCTTGAATTCATTAATGGGCACGAACAGAGAAGCTGGCAGTTGGTAGGGAATGGAGGGAACAAGAACTGAAGGACTGGAATAAAGAAGTGGCTAGAGGATATTTTTATTTGGTGCTTTATTTTCTTTGCAATATTTGAACTTTTCTTCAGTTCTTGTCAATATGAGGTAACTTCAAAGCTTTTTCCAGGTTTATGTTGTCTCTCTGCTTGTAATCATTCTCATTAAACCAATGTGTGAAGAAATGTGTGAAGAATGGTGCAGTCTGTGAGAGGATTGATGCTGACAGATTTTGCTGTTTTGGAAAAGCAGAAAACATTGACTTGCTTAAGTCCCCTTTAGGGCCTGTGCTAGATTAGTTCTAGGACTAAGTGCTAAAAGAAATCCCACACAAAGGCTTTGCAGTCATTTTTCAGTTTTGGTGAAACAAGACAGTCAGAGGTGCAACAGGTTGGGTAATGATGACTTCACCAGCAGAGATATTTAAGCTGCAGGTTGCCTAAAGTCTGGTTTTGCAAAGCACATCAGCTAGTTCTCAGTTTCAGGCACATGTTTGAATCCGTTCTAGCTGAGCAAGATTCATCTTATCTTCTTTCCTACCTTCTGTTAAAAGTCTGCCAGACTCACAAGGAAGGAAAAGCCACCAAAACACAGCCTAAAACACCATGTGCCTTCCAACACAGGGTGGAGCATGGAGAGTACCAGAAACCAGGCCACACCAGTCTCTGAGGACACATCAGCACCCAAGGCCCAAGTAAAAAGTGTCCCTTTTGTGCTGCAAACCTCTCCTGGTGGGTCAAATTCCCTGGTGGACTCTGCAGCCTCTTGTCCAGCCTGCTGACCTTCTGGAGCAGCTCCATAAAAGTGGATTGGGCTCCTTGTTCCCCTGCTTATCCCTCCTTTCCATATGTAGCCCTGTGTCTGCCTCCCTTTGCTTTTCTCCAGATCACTTGTGTACAAGTTAGCCTGTGTCAAGTGGAAAGTCTGGGGATTTTGGTTGTGTGGAGGACAGAGCTCTGTTCTGTTGTCCATCCTGGAGTTGCTTCCCTAAACCAAATTGCTTCTGGAGACTATGATTATTCTTGCATTTCAGTGAAGGAGATAGTAATGGCTGTTTCTTACCATGGCCTAATAAAACTCTTAAATACAGGGATAAAATGGGAGCTCTCGCATTGTTTTGGGTTTTCTTATTTTTTTTTTTAGAGAGAGAAAGGGCTGAACATAATTCCACATGAATGCACACAGGAGCCTGAAGGAGCTGGTCTCCAATCAAATACTGTGGCCTGTGCATATGGAGGATGGTGGTGTAAAAACTTATCAGGAAAGAAAACTGTAGAAAGAAAGAAACTTAGATTCAGATAGGTGCAGCATGACCCATTCTCCTCCCCTGAGCTGGAAGGTCTCCTGCTGCTGGCTCCTGTCCATGTGGGCTGATCCCAGTTGGTGTTTGTTGGCTCTGCTGACCCTTGGGTTCATGGGTGGCTGGAGTCAGTGTCCAGCCCATTTTATGTGTCTCAAGATCTGCTCTGCTTGCTTTTCCACACCATTGTGTTGGGTTATTCACAGGGCTGTGGAGGAGGTGGGCATCCCCTGTGTCTGATCCAGATGTGCTGCAGCTGGAGGGCAGGATTTAGCTCCATGTTTTCCCTCTGCTTGGCTATGCAAGGGGGCACAGATTGGCATGGTACCAAGTGCTAGGACTGAGGTTTGCTCTATTGTTTTGACATGGGGGAAGGGAAAAAGAAACCCAACCACCTTAAATTTTACCCTTGAGTGAATCTTAATCTTTGAATTAGTACAAATGCGAGTGTTCCCATTCTGTGATTTCAGGATAACTGTAATCATTTCAAGAAAACAAAGCCTAGGAACATTATGGTGTTGAATGCAGAGTAAACTGGTGTTTGAAATGATGTGTTGAGCATCTGCACATGTCAAAAAAAGAGGCGTTTAATGTCCTATTTTGTTTTGGATCTTGCCCCCCTCTCCTCTTGTTCATCCCTGTTTTATTTTCTCCCTTTTGTGCCTGTAATTGCACACGTTATTAGAGCTGGCAGGATGAGCACCTCCAGATGCATCCTGCAGGAACACAGCCAGTGCTGACTCTATTCCCATGTCAGACTGCATGCCAAGGCAGTGAAGCTTGCTTGTCAAAACCCATTCCCTTTCTGCACTGCTTCTAAACCCATCTTCTCACACAGCGTTTTGACACAGGGTGACTCATGATAACCTCAAGAACTGTCCCAGGCTCAGGGATGTGTCTTTCAGTGTGTTGAGACATCTCTGGTAAAAGTAGGATTTTGGAATAGCATGGCCAAGGCAGCTTTCCTTGTTCTTCTGTCAGATGAAACAAGTTGAGGGGTTTAAAATCTGTTGTGTTGAACCTTACACTGGGTTTCATGTTTGTGGTTTGTTGTTGTTGGTTTTTTTTGTTTTTTTTTTGTTTTTTTTTTTGTAAATGTTCTCTGAATTTTTATGCACTCTGAAAACAACAACAAAAAAATTCACTTGTTTTACCAAACTTAATGCATTTTGTGTTGGGATTTGTAGCAACAAGATAACTCTTCATTTTGGGGAAGAATATGCTAATTTTCCTTATTATTTTACAGGTGTCAGGCAACAGCATGTCAACGATGCTCCTTCTACAGGATCTTTTCCTAACTGGAGATCTATCCTATCACCAACACGGCCTTCCACAGAAACCAAGTCCCCCTCAATAGCTGATCTTTCCCTGGGACAGACTTTGGAGAACGCAGACTTGCTTCAGATGATCAGGACAACGCTGACTGGTGCCCGTGCCAGGACTTTGGATCAGATGCACCTGTCGCCCTCCCTGTACCAGGGCAGTGGGAGCAGTGCGCCCCAGGAACCCGCTGAGGTCTCGGCCGAGTCGCCTCTGAGGCCGTCGTCTCACGATGCAGATGACACAGCTGCTCTAACAGGTTTGCCTCAGCTTGGTATGTTTGCCACACTGCCCACCCCACCACCAGTGACACATTTGGGTACAGCTGTGCCATCCCAGCCAGTGCCATTAGAAACCACCCTCCATTTGCAGAGAAAGCACATCAGGATCAGACATGCTTGCCGCTGTTCCATCACCATCATTCTCCTCATTGGTAATCCAGTCACCTCATGCCATTAACTTTTCTAAACCAGCTGTACTGCCCATCCAAGTGCCTTTGTCTGCAGATCCTGAAGGTTTCTTCAGCACAGATTCAGCTAGCTCACAGTGAAAGGTTAGTGAAAGCAGGAATAGTGCTCTAAGCGTGGTGCATTCCAGTGTGGTGAATCACAGAAGGGTCCCAACTTGTTTATGGGGGCCATGCTTTATTTGGATCAACCACAGTGCATTTCACAGAGTTAGTGGGAAAAGGGTTTCCTTTGGAAAGGACCTCGTTGTCATCTGTATATTCTGATATTCCTGGGTAAAAAAGAATCAGTCTTCCCTGACAATAATTTCTAAAAGTTTGTCACGGTTCCTTGGTGAGAGCGTGTAAAATGTCTAATTTCCCAAAGTTTGTCATGGTTCCTTGATGAGAGTATGTAAAATGTCTCTTCTACTGGGGCCATTTAGGGCAGCACTGACTGGCACAATCAATGGTACCACTCTTCTGTCATCATCAGTTTTTCAGGATAAAGCAGCTGTTCCCACATCAGTCTTCCATGCTGCGGGTACTCCACATCCAACACCGCCAATGAGTCACCCTCAGTCTTTCACAGCACTGACTAATTCCACTACAGCCTCTCACCCTGCACCTTTCATGTCATCAGCCTCCAAGAGCTCGGCTGAGGTCTCTAGCTGAGCACAGAGTCCTCCCTTTTACTGCCAATATCGCTTTTTCCAGATGCAAAGCACGCTCGCAGTGCAGTGCTGCCAGTAGGAGAATTTAGAAGCAAAACAGATTTTCTCTTTAGAAATGCAGCACACTCCTCTCCAACAAGCCCAAGGTCTCCCTTGCTAATGGAGACAAACGAGGTGTTTACTGGGGCAGCATGCACAGCCAGTCCCAGGGTGGCAGCAGCCAACCAGGACAGGCTGCAGATCCCTCCTCCTGCTGCCTCTGAATCAGAATTTTGCAGAAATTGGACGGATGGAACTTAACAGGCAAATAGCATGAGACTCCCAGCTGCTTCAGCCCTGCTCTCCCAAATCCTGGTGGCTTTCCTGTGGCAAGGACAGCGCAACAGCGTTTCACAAGAGGAGTGACAGCAAAGATGTCCATGAACTTTAATGCTAATGATGTTCTGCATTATGGAACTCAGCTTCTCAAAGTTTCTCCAGGTATCCAAATCTGTGCACTCCTCACAGGATCAAGGATACTAGACACTGTTTTGGAGATGGCCATGATGACTCTTGATCTAGCTGCAGTGCCATTAATTACTTCCCCTGTATGCCTTTCCAAACCTGAACCTGCTATCACAAATACTTCTGCCTTTTCTGCTTTTGTGACTGCACATCTTCCACCTGGAGATGCAGAAAGTTCATATGTAACTGCAAATGAAGACAGAAGGATGGGAGTAACCACTCATGTGACCTCACATGCAGAACATTCATCTCCAAGAACTTTAAATAATTTAACCTCTGGTCAGGCTTTGCATTCAGTTGATAAAAAGCCACTGGCCTCTGTCATGCCTCCAGCGTGGGGTACACTGCCATCACTTGTTTCCATGACAACAGTGACGGGCAGCCACAGTTCTGGCTCTTCCAGGATTTTGAATGCAGGCTCTGAAAGCAATTTAGATCCTGTCAGCCTTCCTGAAGTTGTAACTTCAGCTTCTACGTGGACCAATAAAGCGTTGCTGTCTGCAGCTGGCATTAGTATTCCTTCGGTAAAAACTTCAGTTCGAATGGAAAAAAGGGAAGTTGCTCCAAGTACTTTTCCATTGGAAGATGAGTGCTATGCACCATACTCAGTAGTGTCAAGTCTGCAAAACAAAATTAATACAAATCAGCAGCCTCTCTTCTCCACCCCTTCAGCAAACTATACATATATATCGTATAGTCAAAACATTTCAGATTTACCCTTTCCTGAAAAGAATAGCTTTTCAGAATTTGATGTAGATGCTCTTGCACTGAAATCATCTCCCGTTCAGTATTCATCCATTGCTACTGCATTGACAATGCCTGAGACTCTGCAAAAAAAAGCATGGAAACACAGCTGAAAACATTGCTGATTTCTTCCATGTTGGAGAGGTTCCTATCAGTATCCATGAGAAAGAACCTCTCCATTTTCATATGCCTCCTGTTAATGCTACAGGTGCTCTCCCTAGCTCTCTAGAATCCCAAACAAGTGATGCTGGAAAGATTACTGATGGAAACAGGCACAGCAGCAGTGCTGGTTTTTCACCTCACTGGCAGCTTGACTACTTCAGCCCCAAACAGAAGCAGTGTCACCCTCAGCACACTGCCAGCCTAGTCCCCCTTCCCTGTCACCAAGCCTTCTGGTTAAGAAGGCTCAATTCTCTCCCAACTCTCTTGAATAGTTTAATCTGAGAAGACACTGGTTCTGGGAATTTTCCAGAATTTCCAGACAACCAGTTGAGTCCCCTGGTTATTCCTTTACGGCTGATAACTATCCAGCCACATTCAGTGAGGAGGAGTGGGACACAAGTGCTACAAGTCATAGTCTAGATCTAAATAACATATCTAATAAAGCTACCAAGGGCATCCCATTGCAAACCCCTACCACCAGTGCTCTGCAGTCAAGTCATCATAACTTCTGTCCATGCATCACCAACACAGATAGAGTCTCCTTTTTTGCCAACAACCAACTTTACCCATTCTGTTCTTGCAGTGTTATCTGGAGTATCTTCTGGTGCAATACCTACAGTAGAAACTTCAGAAGCAAAACCACTAACAAGAAAATCATCTCCAGCTTCAACAGTGCCAGCTTCTTCCTTCTTTTCTCTAGGCACTGAAAACACCCCTTTGCCATCTGTGATGGCTTTAAGCACACCGATCCTGACACTAACAAAAAATAACACTGCCACAAAACTGGCACCGGATCCGAGCTCAGTAGGAACACAGGCAGATTTTCCTTTTGCAACAAGAAATGTGACTGCATCACCTCTGGACATGCCAGCTCTGCTCATAACCCCCAAGAGCAGCACGGCCACAGCTTCCACACTCGCACCCACAGCCCACGTACCAAGGCAGATAGAAACAACAGTAACTGACACTCAGAAGTTCCCGAGCTCAGACATCACCAAAAGGCCAACCCCATCCCCACTGACAATGACAGCAGCTTTGACATCTATTACAGCATCAGCGAAAACAACTAGGCTCCCCCCTCCTGCCGTGGAACTCAGCCCTGCTCCTCCCGGCACCACGGCAGCCGCCGCTTTCGCTAACATGACGGCAGCTCCCTCCCTGGATTGCCGGCTCTCTGCCAACATGATGGTGAAAACAGGTACGTGCAGCCTCTGCCGAAGGGCTCTCCTGTGTCTGTGGGGTGTGAGACACACACCCCAGTGTCCAGGAATGTGGGGCAGCAGTGATTGATCCGCTGTGCTGGCGAATCAGATGGGTACGGGCTGGGTTGTTAATTGGAAATGATGTTGGCTTTGCTTGTGGCTGGGTTTTGACATAAATGTGTCAAATGAAGTGGTGAGATCAGGTGCTGTGGATTCAGGGGTCACTGCAGGACCACCTGCAGTGGTAGGACAGCCCTGTAAGCTGGGATGGTTTGGTGCCTGCTTTGCAGTGAGGAGTCTGTGCTGCTGGAGAGGACAGTGCAGTGACCTGCCTTGGTCCTCAGCCCTTTTTATCCACAAAACCTTAATTCTGTTCCAGTATGAACACCTTATTCTATCAGTACAGATCCATTTGAAAATTCTGTTTAGCCTTTAGAGTTGCACACTTCGAAATGGGAGGATTTTGAGTTTTCCATGTGAACAGTGCCACTTCTGGCTCTGGCTGCTTTTTCATGGGCAGCTTCTCCTTAGCTGTAAGAACTCTGAATTAAAGGGGACTGGAGAAGTCCCTTGCCCAGGCTTCTCATGGACTCATTGTGGCAGCACAGCACCAGAAGATGTGTGTGTCTGGGAGATCACAGCAAAGAATAGGTGCAGAAAAGTGTTTGTGACCTTGCATGATGCAGGCTACAGTGAAATAAGCAGCTTTTGGACCTAATGTGTGTTTGTTAGCTGCTAAATATCCTCATCGGTAGCATGATGAGTACAATAGCTCTTTCTAAAGATAAAAGTAGCTTGTGTACAGTATATGATTGAAAGTACTCAAGCACAGCTAAAACGCTCTTCCTGAAAATTATAAGAGAAAAATAAGAAGATAGTGATAGTTTTATTAAAGAAAGCATAGAGATGCTTTCTAAATAGAAAATAATTGCAGCAGTGGAGCAGCAGATTTACTTTATATAACTGTGGCCATGAAGATGTGAAGCCTGCCTGTGCAGCTCTGGCTCAGTCCCCTGGGAATGCTGTGCCAGTCTGTCCTCAGGCAGTGAGTGGCCTCATGCCTCCTTGGAGAGGCAGCATGGCAAAGCCTTGTTGTTGCTGCTAATGAAATTGCATTTGTTAGACCTTGCTCTGGAATCATGGAAACAATGGGCTATTGCCATGGGATGAATAGGGAACTCAGGAGCTGCTGAGCCCCTGCAGTTCTTGTCTTTGGAGCTGCTGCTAATCCAGGCTGCTTTGATGATCCCTGCACAGCCAGCCCAATGAAAAACAATTAAAGAAAGCAAACAAGAGCGTGGTGATGTGTCAAACCACCCTGTGGCTTTTGTTGCTCCACAGTTCTCTTTCTGAACACAAGGAGGATGATGATCAGCAATGCCTTCAGGGAGAGTGTGAGAAAAGGCCTCAACCAAGTGCTGAGACAAGCTTTCAACCAGAATGTCAGTGCTCAGGTAAGCGTGCTTGGCTTTCCCTGCTTGATTTCACCAAAACAGCTCTTCCACCAAAGAACCACAGCTGTCTGCAGCTCCAGTGGTGTCTCTGGATGCAGGAAGCCTCCTGGAGGAGAGCTCTGAGATTTTCCTATGGAGAGCAGGCAGACGTGGCACCTACTCTGGTCTCTAAAAATATAAGGAATACTCCAAAGATTTTTGTGGTTTATTTGATGATGAAGAAGAGAAAAATGCAGACTTTTTTTTAGTGAGCTCTGGGAAATGGCTACTGACAGCAGTTTCCTCTTCCCCCTGCAGCTCAGGAGTGACTTCTGCTCAGGGGCAGCCAGGTGCTGCTGTGCTCAGCCTGGATCAATGGCAAGAGCGTGGCTGGTAAATGGGATGTCAGTGCTGTCAGTCCACTCCCTGCTCTGAAAACCCAGTATCTGACAGGTGCAATTTCACAGGAACAAGAATCCCAAGCAGGGAGAAAGCATGTTTTATTGAAAATAAATGGAGGGGATGTGTTCATCACTTTGCAGCTAAATTGCATGAACCTCTGCACTGCTGTGTGAGGGAGCAGGCTTGGGAGGACTGCCAGAGCCCTTTTCCTTGGGACAAAGCTTCCTCTGGGGAAGCACTCAAGCTGGGGTTTGTGTGGGGTCCAAGCCTCTGGGAAGGAAAAAAGTAATTTTCCTCAAAACAGAGGTTATCCAAGTTGATTTTGGTCCTCACACTATATTGCTGCAAGTGTGGAGGATGTCAGTCTCTTTGGGCATTATGTGCTTCTTGGCAACAGCAATAAACACTGCCAGGTTTAGTCCCCTACCTTTCTACAAATTGAGAGAAGCTGCCCTCTTCTAACAGAGGAAACCAGCTAAAACTTAGTGAGGAGAACCAGTTCCAGGGCTAAAGCTTTTTGGAAAATACTGAATTTTGAGGTAAAACTCAGCTCATGTTTTGAGTTTTGACTCAGCGTGCCCGTTCTTGTGGTTTGGCATTTCCACCCGTATAGGTCTGCTCATAGACTTAACCATCTGGGACAGTACAGGAGGAGATAGGAGACAGCCCAATCAAATATTGGAAGTTTTTGTCTTTCAAAAAGTCAGTGAAGTTCGGACACAGAGTGAGAGCTAGATGCTCTTTGTGTTTTTCCACGTATGTGTAAAATGTCCCTGTATCTGTGCATGGGTGAAGGGCCAGCCTGACCTGGAGCTTTGCAGCTGTGGTAGAAGTTCTGCACTCCTTTAATTTGGAGCCTATGCTGCATGGGCTGAGCCTAAAACTCTCTGAGCAGGTCTGCTAATACCGTGTCTGTTGTTATTGTATTGAGGATGGATGAATAAGGTGACACATGGACTCCAAAGTCTCAGAAGGCAAAATGCTATTTTATTAAAAACCACACACTTTTTGTAGACAGTTGCAATACAGGTGGACCTGACTGGTCCTCAATCAACATCCCTCACACCATTGGCTAATTAGGCACACCACCCTCTTGTAAATATCTTACGAGAAAACAAACACCAGCTACATAATTAAGAATTGTTTTAATTCCTTCTCTGAACTTACCCAAAACATCAAAGAGCAATTCCTGGGTAAGTTTATCTGGCTTTCTTCTCTGACTAGTTCTCACCATCCACACCACGTCTGATATGACACCAACTGATCCCACAGGGTTTCTAGGGGATTGCAGGATAAAAACCCTGCCAGGGACACATATTCAGGGTGAGAAACCCCATAAACCACTGTCATTGTTTAGTAAGAAACGACACAGTGTTGTCTTTACTTCTTTTATATGCTGTTTTAGACACTGTTCTGATACAGGTGGACCTGATTGGTCATTCAACCAATCAATACATTTCACCTGATTGGCTAATTAACAAGACACCCATTTATAAACACTCTTATGAGAATAACAAGAAAACAGACTTTAGGAAAACAACACCTGCATAATTGGATATCATATACCTGATAATTGGATATCATTGTTTTTCTTAAACTCCCTAAAGTCTCCCAGGCTGATTCTGGGAAAACTTATCTAGTTTTCTCGTCTCTGACCAGGATGTCACATCCACAAACAGCATCTGAACTGCTGGTTTCTCTGGGTCTGGATTGAAGGCACTTGAGACAATAGTTCATGTTTGGATTCAGGTGTTTATTATTCCTTATCAGTAAAAACCAGTCTCATTACTGTGAGTTCAGCAGCTTTTCAACAGAAGGCACAAAATGGCCAACAATCTCTTGTTACAAGGTCTTTTAAGACTAAACTATCCAATTAAGAACTGACACCTAGATTATTTTCCCTTTTAACCCAATAACTGATCTCAAACATATCATGTTTCTGCCCAATTACAGAATGCCACCCAAAACCATGAAGAAGAAGAAGCATGAAGAAGAAACCCAGGATGACACCCTGTGCCCTCCATCTTTCTTCCATCCACAACATACTAAAAATCCCAAAACCTCAATTTCTCACCAACTGATACACCCACACTACTCTCTATAATCTATTTCACACTTTTGTGGATTCTAGTCTATCTTGAAGTCTAGGAAACTTTCTCCATGAATAAGTGTCAAAGTCAGTGCTCCCCTGGGGGTCAGCACACGCCAGAAATATTCTCGGTGCCTTGGCTTTCCGCAAACTGCGAGCAAAATAATAAAAAAAAATTAAAAACCATGCTGCCCTGTGTGTTTTAGGTTGAAATCCTGGAGCAGTCGAGTAACCTGACCGTGGGTTACTATGTCACACGAGGCAGGCTGGTTTTCACGCCGGCTGCCGTCGCCGAGAAGCTGCTGGCCTACGGCCTGGCCAACGCCACGGCCGACATGAAGCAGCACGTGCCACACCTGCAGGCCCTGGTGGCCCTGGCCCTGCCCTGGCAGCCCCTGCCCGCCTACCACTTCCAGCTGAAGACAGGTGAGTGAGGGAAACCTGCCTGGGCTGGCTGTGTGCCCGTGGTGCCCTCTCTGAGCAGGGGGGTGGCAGCAGGACTCTGCTATGGGGTCAGGTGTCCTGTGGGCACCCCTGGGCTTGGCTCTGCTGCCAGGGCACTGCTGTGAGGGTGATGCCTTAGGGTTTTAGCTTTTATTATTTTTGTGTATTTGTAACCCTGCAATTCTTTAGTGTATAACTCTATAAAAACTGTTAGCTACCTCCCAGTTTGGTCAGGCAGAGCAATTCCTCTCCAGGCCTGGGAATCAAGAACACCCCTGTGGGCACCCCTCTGCTCTGCTGCCAGGGCACTGCTGTGAGGGTGATGCCTTAGGGTATTAGCTTTTATATTTTTCATATATTTGTAACCCTGCAATTCTTCAGTGTGTAACTCTAAACTCCATATAAAGTGTTAGTTACTGTACTCCCAGTTTGGTCAGGCAAAACAGTTGCTCTTCATGTCTGGGCATCAAGGACACCCCTGTGCTCTGCTGCTAGGGCTGTGGGTGCTGCTGTGAGGGTGATGCCTTAGGGTTTTAGCTTTTATATTTTTCATATATTTGTGACCCTGTAATTCTTTAGTGTGTAACTCTAAACTCTATATAGAGTGTTGCTACTGTTCTCCCAGATTGGTCAGGCAGAACAATTCCTCTCCAGGCCTGGGAATCAAGGACATCTCACTGTCTCAGACCCCAAGAGTGAGTTGGGGACAGCAAACTTGGGGTAAATGGCTTCATTACCTGAAGCTGTAATTGGAAGATTAACCCCCAATGTGCAAATGGACAAATCTTACAAAAGTATGAAACCCAAGACTTGTCATCCATGTTTTTGGGTGTAGCCCCTGAGAGGGGCTTTGTCTGCCTGAAATGTACCTGAAGGCCCTTCAATAAATACAACTGCATTTTTTTCTCTTAATTTTGTCTGGTTTTAGGTAGTCAGTTCCAAAAAAGCATCAAAGGGATATGGCAGTGCAGAGTAATTGTGGGGCACTGTAAGATTAGAAGAGGGCAGAGTGCTCTGAAATGATAGCTTAAATTATAAAAAAATATTTCCTACAGGTGTTCTTACAATGTTTGTATACACATACTTACGGCAGTTACAAGTACATTTTTCCTAGAGTGAAAATAAAACAGAATGAGAATCAATATTATTATTAATTATATTTTGCAGAACCAAATGACCTGCAAGATTTAAGATTATAACTTGTTTTTTAGAATGACTTTGATTATTGCCTGGCTCTGAGCTAGTATATGCACAGTGAACAGGCCTTACCATCTTATATATCATTGCAGAAGCAATCTCCATTTGTTTGTGGAGAGTATCAGCTCTAATAATGCAATTTAATTCTTACATTTTGTCTTAATTAAGGCTAATTTAGTGCAGTCCCTGAAGTGGCATAATCTTCACCTGCTTAATGTGTAAATTGATCATTTTGTTCTTGGTGCTGCAACGAGAATACTTTGTCCAAATGCTAATGCCTTCCTTTTTTCCAGAGCTGCAGTTTGTGGGTCAAACAGACAACATTCAGTCGTGCAAATTTGTTCAGACCATGGAACAGCGGCTCCAGAGAGCATTCCAGGATGCTGAAAGAAAGGTCCTAAACACCAGCAACAACTTAACTGTTCAGGTACAGTGTTGTGTACTTTGCCTGTTGCCAAGCCCTCCTGGTTATTCTTTGCCAGGTGTATGTTTTTATTCCAGCACAGTGCCTTTGCTAGCCACTGTGGAAGGAAGTTTATGTTTTCATCTGCAATAAGATCGTTTATGCATTGCAGGAAAACTTACAGATGCATGATTTATAGAAGGCTTTTCATGAATTGGAGTTTTACTGCTTGCACTTCAGCCATAAAAATGAAATTCTAAGTATAAAAACAGAATCTTCCAAATTTATGTTTTTACTGAGCATGTTATTCTGACATTAGTTGCTTTCATTGAGGCTATTCAGGTATGGAGATGGTGCTAGGCACGGTTGTTTTTGAGATGTGAAATAATGGAATAGATTTCTTTCTCATGGTATGCATTTCAGTTTCATACTCATGGGCACAAATTCACCACAAATTTTTACACACCTTTAAATGTATAGTGGGCCAACACTCTTACATTCTATGCCACACTTCAGGACTAGAGAAATGATCTTCTGGGCAATATTATGATATGTTTTTGATTTTTGATAAAACTCTGTGTATGGATTGTGCTCCTCAGAAGGAGAAAATTTTGCCATCAGCACTCTGCTAATTATTTTTGCACTGTTTCTTGTGAGCTTGAGCTCAAAGTGGTGGAGCTCAGAGAGGCAGCAAAGCACAGGGCAAGAGAGGGCCTGCCACAGTAGGTACAGGGATTATCAAGTTTCTCAGGGGAACTTCATGGTGCCTGATTTGCTTGTGGTGGAAGTAGCTTTATGAAGATCTCACAAAGCACCCAAGCAATTTTGGAAAGAGTCCTAGGAGAAGGTAGTGGCTGTTTTTGTGGATATTGCCAATTTAAGGAGAGATAGGATGGAGGTCCTGGTGGCAACATATAGGCTGGGGAGTAAGAGGCTCAAGGGTGTGATCTTCATGATACATTTTTTTGAAGTTATTCCAGTATCATGCTAAAGACTAAGTCCATGCAACAAAATACTCTATGAGAGTTTTAGATTAATTGAAAACTGGGGAACAGTTCTGGAGCAGATAGAGCCAGTTCAGAAAAGGTATTGCTGCCTTAGGAGAGTAGAGGGAAGGTGGATAAAAGGCATGAAGCATCTTCCATGCAAGGAGAAATGAAATTGGCCATGGCTTTCCAGCCAGTAGTGAATCAGGAGTGGCCACTTAGAGTTTCCCATAACAGAACTACTCAATTTTAAATAAAAAGAAGCATCCTTTTTCACAATGTGTATAAAGATGTCCAGATGTAACTGGAGGAAAAAAAAAAGGAAATTACAAAAAACATTTGGCCAAAGATCTAGAATAAAAAGTTATCAACCCTTTTTAAACCCAGGCATATGATTTATGGCTCTGACACAGCTGTGAGATAATCTTACCATGTTGAGAGCCATATATGCTTCTTGTCCTGTGCTAATTCTCCAACCCTCTGCTCCAGCCATTTGTAGGTGAACATTGGCTAAGCAGACTTTTGGTCTGACCTTGGGCTCTTCTGATGCTTCTTTTTGTATCATGGTTTTTCTTTAAACTTGGTGATCCAAACCATAAAAATGGGGCATTTAAATAACATTTATGAATGCTGTCAGGCCTACCTATCAGTAGCCAAATAACCCCATCCCTCTTGCCCTTGGGCATAAGTTTTTCAAGAAAACATGTGAGTTTTGTTCCTGATCTTTGAGAATCTCATCCAGTAGTCAGAATAGAATTGGTCCTCAAAACATAGTAATCAGATTTGGGCTCAGCAAGAGACTGGCACTGAGCTAGAGTGGGGAGGAGCACAGAGATTCATATGATGTTAGGAACACAAAGACATGATATCCCTTAATTTCTTACGAAAAATATGTGGGTCTATAAACCAGCAGTAGGAAGGCAGCAAAGACAGCAAGATAAACAGCACAATTTGTCTGCATCAAGCACTGGATGGTTTTTCTGATAAGCATCCTCTCCCTCGTCCCACATTCCCTGGTAAAAACAGGGGAAAACATTTTCAGTCCTGGCTGCACCTTTTCTGCCTGCTGCTGTCCTCCAGGAACCCTGCAAGTGCTAAAGCAGGGATTAAAGTATCACACAAGTCAAGTTGGATGAGATGTAGCTAATCCATTCTTCAGGTTAACATTTCCCCAGTTTCTTTGCATTGCCTTGGTGGTTTGTGTTTTTTTTTTTTCTTTTTTAATAATGAGCTGAACCACAGCAACACATTATTTTTTGCCTCTGTTTCAGATTTTGAACACCTCCAATGTCTCCCAAGCTGTCACTCTGTTTTATGTAGTGAAAAATCAAAGCACAACTCTAAATGGCACTATTTCCAGCAACCTTCTTAATCAGCTGTCAGCTGAGCTGGTGGGTTTCTACCTCACCTACCCACCTCTCACCATTGCTGAATGTAAGTATGTGCTTCCCACCATCAAGATTAGCCAGCACCAGAATTTGGCTTTGTTGTCAAACTCAGGGATTGTAGGTAGCTTTTTGTGCTAACTTTTTAAACTGTATTTTGTTACAAAAGAAAGGGGCGAGGGAGAATTATATTATTTTTTTTCCCCTGGGTTCAGTGTTTATTTTGGCTGCTAGCAACACTGGCAAAAAGCTAAGGAAAAAACATATATACTCTGTCATTAACAAAAACATTTCCTGTGCTAGGTTACAAACAAAATAAATTGTAGTTTTGTGAAAAGCAAAGCACAAAAGTCCCAAAGTCTTCATTTCGGGAGTGCTTAGCACAGCACTGAATGAGCTTTAGCTTCAGCAAAGCCCTTTGCTTCAGGGGATTCCTCAACCCTGGTGGTTGCTGCAGGGCTGGGATCAGGCTGGGACTGTGTGTTTGGGTAGTGGGGTGAGCTCCACCTGTGCTTCTATTTTAAAAAGCTGTTGGTGCATTTGCTGAGAACTGCATCCTCAGTTTACACGTGGTCTGAGCACTTTGGCATCGATGGTTTTCCTGAGTTCCAGTTCCTATGAAGGCTCTGAGGTACAAAGAGCTGGAGACAATTGTGTGGGCAGCCTGTGTGTGCATGTGCTCTCTGACTGCCTGCTGATTTCTTTAAAATGATTAAAGGGACAAGACACTTGATTATGGGGATTTCTGTTTAATCTGCTTGTTAATGTCATGTGCGATATTAAGCTTGCTGCAGACTGGAGTTCTGTATTTTCTGGGAGTAAGAAGAGACATGCTGGGTACATGCAGAAGCACACTGTTGGAAAGTGAGCACTGAGGAAAACACAAATTACCTTTTTTTTTTTTTTTGTCAGTCCATTTTGTTTGCAAACAGCCCAACAGCAGGGAAATTACATGGTGCAGTTCACCAGTGACTTGCAGGATGAGCTTTCTGTGGGATAAGTGGTTTCTCTTTGCTGTGAGGCAGTCAGGAATCACAGCTAACTTAGGTGGCTGTGCAAATCTTTGGTAAAGGAGGTTTGGATGTCCTTCTTGAGGCGTTACCTATCAAATTACAATGTTTGGAAACAAATAGGTGAAACTGCCCTGTAAGTTCTTGCTCTGTGTTGGTACGCTTCTGAATCTGAGTTTGCATCACAGGGTAAGAGACACATACCATCTTCTAAAACCTTAAACTCTAAGTTTTTCACCGCATGATATCACAAACTTCCAATCAAACTACACACTCATAATCCCAGTTCTATCATTTGAATTTGGAAGCCTTCTCCACAGCCTCAGGTCAAATACAGTGATCTCCTGGGGGTCAGAGTCTGTCAGCACAGTAAGTCTAAAATTCTCAGCATCCAGAGTTCTGACAGTGGGCTTGTGTTTTCATAAAGTCTTTCCACAGGCAAGGGGAGGCAGAGGGAGGGAGGCTGTTGGTAAAGGATGTGGTCATGGACCTAGAAGGGATGTCCCCCATTCCTCAATAGACAGGCTCCTTTTTGATGGCTGGTGTTCAGGACATGTCTTCATGGGCCATCCAGGAGCTTTCAGGAGGAAGTTTTGGTGCTGACTGTGCTCAGTTCAAGTGTTTGGCCTCCAAAATAGGCCTGTTGCCTAGGAGGAGGATTGTGGTTCTTCTCACAAAGGCAATACAAGCACATGCTTGGTAGTCAGGAGCTGTGCAAGCCATTCGTCACACAGCAAGCCTTATGTGGTACTGCAGTTGTCTGCTGATCCCCACACATGATGAACAGACCTGATGAAGTCTTTAGCTAGTGTTTCTTTACCAACTAATGGCTTATATTTCATTTTGGAGCTCTTGGTTTTATTCCCAGTGCAGCAGCTGCACTGCAAACTCATGAACTTAATGCACGTGCAGTGTTTACGGCTCCAGACTGAGAGCGTGTCTGGAAAATGTTTCCTTTGAAGAGTGTTTGATGCTTATTCATGTGGCAGTGTAGTTGTCTCAGTTTATCAAACAAATATTGAGGTTGTTCTCCAAGCATGTTATTTCCCAGTAGGCTCCTCCAGAGCCTTTGCAGTCTGTCCTGGAAATGCATAGCTCAGGGCACGCTGTGAAATCCTCCTCAAAAGCAGCTACTGTGTGTAATCAAATCCCTTACAATGTTTACTATTCTGAGCCACTTTGGGGTTTGAAAATCAAGGTGACTCAGTAGCAGCCTATCAATGTGAAGAGCATGGTTGTTTTCTGAATTAAGTTCCTGGTATTCATCAATTGAACAAACGCTAAGCTGTGGAATGAATTAGCAGCATACTGAGCTTTACAGCCTAGTGCACTTTGGAGATGGAGGAGCTAACAAAAGGCATCATAACAGCAAATATCAGTTTCTCACAGATGCAGATACATATGGTAGTAATGCCTTAAATGGTGCACAGTGAGAGCACACTCCAAGGTGTGTTCAGAGTTTTGTTAGTCTTGTTTGCAGTCCATGTGGAGTCTGACCCTGGTATATTTTCATGTTATTTTAGGCTGAAACTATATTCTGGACTACATAAGGATCAATCATAGAATCATCATGGAATCTCATCTGGTTTTCTGCAGGGGAGAAAGCAGCAGAGAGGAATACAACACCTATTACCTGTCTTTCTTGGTTCTGGGCATTCCTGGGCTTCATCCTAGACTCTGTCCCAGCCAGTATTTTGGCAACAGGAGATATATGTTCTACTTTGTATGGCAGGGCTTCTCCTGTTTACACTTGGTGTTCTTCCTCAGACAGAAAAGAAATTGTAACCCTGAAAATTATGCTCTAGATCTCCTCTTGGGCAATAGTTCAATTTTATTTACTGTTGTCAGGGTAGCCAGTTTTGGGATGCATAATGTGTAGGATGTTGGAATATTATGACATAATTTAATCTTCTATTTTTAAAGCTTTGGAGTATCCAAACCTTGATGTCTCGGAATCAACTAGAGACTACTGGGTGATAACAGGTACTTTCTAATATCCTTCCCTCCTCCAGGCACTCCAGGTAATAATTTTTAGTGCTCATTTATATCAACACAGCAGTGCAGTAATTTTACACAGAATAAGTGGCTGCCCACTGAACCTGCCTTCAGCTGGGCAGATGCACTGACAGTCACTCTGTGGCATAAGTGATAGATCATCTTGAGCAGTGACATCTCCAGCAAGAAACACCCAGCTCAGAATTTATAGCACTTTGGTTGAAACAGTTCCGAGAGCAGCATTATTTTCCAAGAGTTTTGAGACACAAACAGACCATTTATTTATTTATTTATTTATTTATTTATTTATTTTATGTCCTGGGACATGGATTTAAATCTGAAATCAAAAAGGACACATAGACATAACCCAGCAGCAGAGGTGAGGCCGTTACACCAAGGAACTTTGTTATGATTTGCTGACTATCTGGGTGTAGAGATTTTTTGCATCTTTCACTTGAAGCTCTTAGGCTTCAAAACACTTCTTTTATCAAGTTATTTCACAGGTGCCACCTTCTCGTGCACAATAATTTTGACTTCAGAAATGATAACTGGGCAAGAAAGAGACCCTTTCCCTCAGATATCTTTGAGTGATACCAAAGCCTTTCTAGCTGGTGTGTCTGTACCTGCAATTGTTTAATGCTCAGGAGAGCAAGAGCAAAGGGCTCTGACATGAAATAAGCTTGGTACCAGTTCCATCTTTTCATAAATTTAAAATAAAACATAAGTTTATGCAGAGATGATGATCTTCTGAAGGGAGTGGTGCAGCTCTTCCCAGTATGGACCCTGTGAACCTGATACTCCATTTCTTGCCTCTGTGCACTTGCTGTGATGGATTATTATTGATATTACAATAGAAACTCTGTTTTCAAAAAGATCCTGTTGGTCCCAGGAGACTTGTTTGAAGTAGTGCTAAAAAAACCATACATATGTATGAATTGAATCTGCATGTCATATCACTTTTTTTGAACTTTAGAATCCAGTGTCTTTTAAATCTTGCATTGATTTATACTTCAGATGTCTTAATTTATACTTCAGAAATGTTTATTGAGGTTTCAGTGCTTTCAGACAGGATATCTTGTTTGAGACTGCACAAAATCGAAACTTCAGAGCTCAAATCCTCAGGACAGAAACTGGTTTACAGGAGCATCTGGCAGTAAGCATAAACCCAGCAGCTCTCAAATAGGCTTAAACCTAATTTTTAGATTAAAGATCACAGAGTAGTAAACTGAAGGCCTAGAAATGGTATTTTGATATTATCTGAGATGAGCTGTGCAGGGGCTGAAACAGAAGTGTTTTATATCCTCACAGGGAATTACTGAGAGAGGATAACAGTGTCCAGGTGTTTAATTTCCAAGTTAATCTGCACCTCCCTGTCCCAAACTGTCCCACAGACCACGTGTTACTTCACCTGTGGGTGCATGAAGTGCTGATCTGTGTTTTTTCTGTGTTCCCACAGTGATCCAAGGGGTGGATATTGCTTTGCTGGGGCTCAACAACCAGAGCTTTGCCAGGCTGATGGAGCAGCGCTTGGCCCCGCTGTTCATGATGTCCCACCAGCAGGGAAGGCGCTTCAGACGTGCCACCACCGTGGGCAGCTACACTGTGCAGGTGCTCAGTGTGGGGAGAAAAATGCTTGGCTTGCATCTGTCCTGCTTCAGTTCCTGTAAAAGACATGCCTAGCTGAATTTCTAGGCTGAAATTTCCTGTATTTCTCATGGGTATCAATGCAGAATGCCTGGCACTGCTGATGGTGCCTTTTTTTGCAGCCAGCCATGTTGGCATGCCTGTCATCCTCCAGAAATCATCATTAGTTAATCAGTGTTCATAAATATTTTCTCTCTGGTTGCTATGAGGATTGGTACAAAGTACATATTTTAGCGTATTCAGCATAATGAAGAGTTCCAAGTTTTTTCTTCTTGATAAAAGTTTCCTAGGTAACTCAAAGTTAGAATTTTTTTTTTCTCTTTTTGTTGGAAAAAAAATGTAAGAGGCAGCCTTTATTTATACAGGGTTAGTCATCAAATCATGTGGCCCCAGATCACGCTATGAAGTAGAGACTTGAGACCTGAGTAATTTATTAATCATCTTTCTCTTATTTACAGCATTTTTCATTCAGTATTTTGAACTGATCATGTTTTGTTTTCTCACCATTAAGCCAAATGATGTTGTGGGCAATTAAAAGATTTCTTCTTCAATCTTCAAAAACTACTTATTTAAAAAAAAATAATAAACAATTCTTGGAAAACAATTTAATTGTAAGGTATAAACCCAAGTAATTGCATTTCCCATTTGCCCACACAATTCTTTGTATCGTTCCACTGAAAGAATTTAAAAGAAGGAACACATTTTACTTGCCCGAAGTGTGAATTTTGTAAAATTGTCCATAGCATAATGGAGAAGAATCATAAAACTCCTTTTTCTTCTAATCATTAGAAATATTTGACATTTTCTCCACTCTCAGGAAAGGTAGAGGTGCAATGGAAAAATTCTGCCAGTGTTCTGCAGAATAAAATGGAAAAGCATGATTCCTTTGTTATCAACCTGGGACAAAAAAATAATAAGTATAGAAGGAAAATGGGAGGCTGTTTTTAAACTGCAATATGCCAATAAAGTAGAGATTTCAGTATTAGAACAGATTATAAGAATTCCCCCTTTACAGAGGACTGTAATGTCTAAAAATTTGATCCTTTCCTCTTTGCTGCATGCTTTTCTTAGTGTAGGGTTTTACCTTAGGATTATGTTTAATTTTTTTTCAAGAATTTTAGTTGTTTTTCTGACTGACTGATTTAATAGCCTGGGCTCTGAAGGGGAGAAACTCTGATCCTGTGAGGATATTTGCATGGAGCTTATGCTTGCGGGCTGTCTTGAAGGAGCTCCCTGTGGACACTGCCCCCAAATAGCTCCTGGCAAGTTTTGCAGTGGTGTAACACAAACACAGTTAATTTCTCTTTCTCTCCTCAATTTATTTATTTTATTTCCCTTAAAGATGGTCAAAATTCAACGGATTCCAGGACCCAAGGAGCCAGCTGAACTGACATATTACACTTTATACAACGGGAAGCCTTTGCTGGGCACTGCAGCTGCCAAAATTCTGAGTACCGTTGACTCGCAGAGGATGGCCTTGACCCTGGGCTATGTCATCCAAGTTCAAGCTGATCGTAAGAGTCCTTTCAAAAATTCCATACTTAACCATTGCTTTATTCCATGAACTGAGCACTATGGAAAGCCACAATTAATTCTGATGCTGACAAAACCATGACAGCACACACTAATGATGACTGGGGCAAAGTTGCTATTCATGTAACTTGGCCAAAAAATGTAAAATGTGGTGGCTGTTAAGATGTCCCTTATTTTTGACTTCATCAAAATAGTATAGATTCTTTCTATCTCAAAGGGATTATTATTTCCTTGAATAACAATTTTCACCAAGAAAACTACATGGTTGTTAAAAATATTTAGATACAAATCAGAAAAGTGAACTAGAAAAGAGCTACTTGTGCATATGGACAGTTTTCAGATTCAAGATAGGATAGTATCATTCAGAATAATGTGGTCAAAAATACTCCATTCTTGAAAAGTAAAGTGTTTTCAAATTTCTCTTTCAAAACCTTCATCAGTTACTGAGTGATTGTGGACACAGGTTTCTTTAAATGGTTTTTTAGATATTCCTATATACTTGTCATAGTCATAAACCTGTGGTGAAGCTTGGAGTGTTTTTTCATGCAGTTAACATAATGTATAATGTTGACACAGGTTTCTTTAATTTTTTTTTTCAGATATTCCTATAGATTTTTTTTAAGATATTCCTATAGATATTAGATGTTTTTTTAGATATTCCTATATACTTGTCATAGTCATAAACCTGTGGTGAAGCTTGGAGTGTTTTTTCACGCAGTTAACATAATGTATAATTATGCTTCATGCAATGTATAAACCCATGCCTTTTGCTAACTGGATTTCTCCACCTTGCCAAAGTATTTCTTTAGAAGGAATCAAAGTTATGTAGTAGACTTCTGCACTGGATCTCCTTATGGGTGAAACAGCACATAAAATTGTCCCTGGTGCAATTATATCTGCCTGGAGGAGTGGTGGTACTGAAATAATTGCGTAAAATGGTGACAGGAAAAGAAGAGACCACTATAATAAGTAATTTGTGTATCATCCATAAACATAGGATTGAGTAAGAAGACTGAAATATGATACAATTTCCACAGAATGCACCATGTACTGTATCTGGTATTTGATCTGATCATGGTCTGCTTCTGACTTTAATTCAGCTGAACCCAAGGGTCTCCATTCCATAAATTCCAGCATTTACATTCCAAGTAATTTTGTTTTCCATGAGAATATTTCTTTAATGTATTTTTTACTGCAGACGAGATAGATATGGCAGTTTCCTAGCTCTTTGTGCAGTGATGTGATTTATATTTATGTGGGGATTTAGGCAATTATGGAAGCTACTGCTCATCATCTAACTTTGTATTTCCATGGTCTGATAAGGCAGCCTTATTCATCTGTAGATTTTCATACCACGTATGCATAGAACACTGTAAAAATAGAATAGACAGGAACTGAAATTGTGACCTGAGGTACGTGAGATTCTGAAGGTAGAGTATTTGAAATGTAGGAAGTAATTCCATCTTTATACCTTATTATGGAAAAAAAACACAATTTCTTTCCTTTCGGACATGGTTATTTGTAGTCTGCATTGCCGCATAAAGTACTTTGTGTGGATTTCATTTTTGCTCATTATAATTTCTGTTCTAGCAGAATGAAAAGTTCTGTTCCAAAATACTGTGAGAAAAGACATGTACCCTCGGGAGCTCATAGCTGGGTTAGATGAGACAGACGAATAATAACACAAAAAATGGATGTTCCTGTGTTATGAGCCAGAGACTGAGTTACAACAGAATGAAAGGCTTGTTTCAAATTCCACTGAAGTCTTACTGAGTTCAATGAACCATGGGTTGACTTTAGGTCACATTGGAGTCTGGTAACTGAATTAAAGATGTAAATTAGGACTCCTAAATGACTATCCTATTAGTAATAAGGTCATAATTTCCTCTGCATCCCTTAGAAGGCAGAAGTATAATTTTTCAACCATTGTTTGCTGCTTCCACAGCAGCAGACTATAATTAAAGTTTCTGTTATTTGTTAAAATTCAGATTCCGTTTCCTTCCCCACAGCCCTCTCATCCCCAAACTAAATGTCAAAGTCAATAATTAAGAATTCTGCAAGTCTGTTGAAAAGTGAACCTTGAAAGTTTCCAACCTGCCCTTTTTGTAGTCTTGTACTCAAGCTCTGAGCCTAATGGTGCTGTTCCTACATCCCCCAAAGACCTTCACTGGCTTTGCAAAACACTGCAAATCTACAAAGAGAATAGGCTCAGGCTCCAGCCAGGCTTTCAGCTGGAGAACTGTAAAGTTCCCAGTGGCTGCTGCAGAAGAAGCTGGTTTGTATTTGAAGTCTGATCCTGAGAGATGCTGAGTCCCTCCGACAGCTCATAAGCTCAATGACATTTGAAAGCGCCGGTCCCCCAGGAAATGGGAGCGGCTGCTTTGTGCTGGTGTTCTCACAATTGCCTGCCCACACCAGCAACCAGTGCCACAGCAAAATAAACAGGGATAGCATGGGGAAGTCCACTAAATATTCCACTACAGCAAAGTTCAGCACCATAAAGAGGTTGTCTGATTGTTTTTCCAGAACAAAATGAAATGAGAGAACTGGGAATGTGTCACAGGAGGATGTGTGAACAAGTTGAAGGTTCATAACTAAGAGAGATTATTCTGATGAAATGGAGTCTAAAATGTTTTTGCCTTGCTGCATTTCAGAAATGTACCCTTTTCCTGATGCCATCATTAATATGTCTGCAAGTAGCTCTTTTCAGCCTCATTATTTCTACTCCTTCAGAAATAATGAATTCTTCTTGACCTTAACTATGATAAATTATTTCTAGAGCACAAGAGAAGCATCTTCTTATTGCCTTATTGATATTGATAGTAACTATTCCAGCTAGTTTCGTTGTTTTTTAAAAAGCTCTGCCAGTTTGCTCCTGCTGAGCCAGTCAATGTTTGACACCACAGATGGACTCCATGTGTGTTCTTTTAACACACATGCTATGCTACTTTGCTCTAAGCTGGCCTTGTGTTTGAAAAATAGTTAAGGATGCATTATTTGCACCTTTTATTTGTTTGTTTATTGTGTGAGTGAATCATTGGAGTGATATTTGAGATGGTATCTATCTTGACTTTGGAGTGGATGTCTGCTTTTGCATATAACCAGGTAACATAAAATTAAGAAAAGAGAGCCTAGGGATTTGTGAATTCAACAAATCAAATCAAATTCAAATTCAACAAAAACTGTTGCTGATTTTCCCCTTTTTATTCTTATTAAAGTAATAAAAGAGGTATTCCCTTGTACAGAAAGCTAGATTACTTAGCAGTACTTTTTATACTAATTTCTATATGGAGGCAATTGAAGGCTGGAAGCAGCAGGAGCCTTTCCCAGTCAAGTCACCACTGGTGGTTTGCCTTTTTCTGCAGCTGTGGTGAAGAACCCCCCAAACAACCTGTGGATCATTGCAGCCGTGCTGGCTCCCATCGCGGTGGTCACCGTCATCATCATCATCATCACCGCGGTGCTCTGCAGGAAGAACAAGAACGACTTCAAACCAGACACCATGATGAACCTGCCTCAGAGAGCCAAGGTCAGTGACCCAGCCCCACATCCAAAGGTCCATCTGCCTGCTGAGGCTGTGGCTCTTGGATAGATGCAGTTGAAGGATGTTTGGAACTGAAAGGATTGGTACTCACAGCTTGGATTGGCACATCTCCTGTAGGATCTGTAGCCTGAGCTGTTCCTGCCTGCTGAACATGGGAATGTCTGGAGTTTGGTAGCAATTCAGATCTGGCCCTAACCAAAGTTCTCCTCCCAAATTGCTGGAAGGTCCCCTTCCAGAATATTTCCCCTTTCTGATTCCTGCATAAAATCCAGAATAGACATACTTTGATTTTTTTTTCTCCTACTGCTATTTTTCTTTTAGGTGTTTTGGACTTTCTAATTTATGTATATTGCTGGTCAGGTTCAAGCAATTATAGTTTTCTTAAAGTTACTAATCCATATCAATTACAATATTTTTTTTTCCCAAATCAAATGCACTTCCAGTTTGACCCTCTGATAGAAAAAAAAAGTCACACAATACTCTTTTATCTCCATAGTGAAAAAGTCTGCCCTCTCAATGGCTCTTGATCAGGTTCAACCAAAGATAGGAGTTTTTAGCCTATGAGGCCGTGTGTAAGTCAGACTGTTCCTTTGCCCTTTTAGCTGGCTTTGCTCTTCTCTGCTGGCATGGGATTGGGATGATGAATTTTTTCTTTGGTTTCTTAATGCTACAGACAGCAGGATTATTGAGATTTCAGCTCTGTTGCTTCTGCTGAAAAATGTAGATTGGAAGGAGAGTTGAAGGAAGGCATGAGGCATTTGACAGCTCTTTTCTCCTTATCTTAGGTTCGTTGCAGATGGGTGCAGCTGGTGCCAGTTGGAAACCAGACATTTGTATCAAAAATGATTCAGAAAAGACATTTCCATTTTGGTTCCAGTGTGCTCATCTGTTTATCCGCTATTATCCATCCAGTTTTAAGACTAGATCTGCAAAAGTGTAACACACAAAATCACAAACACAGACAGGAATTAATATCACTGCAGTGCTATTAGATGCCCCATTGAAGCCCCTAAAAATGCAAATTATGCTTTATTAGGGGTTGTTGCCAATGCTATGCACCATTTGATTGGTTTTATATGTAATCTTGGTCCCAGCTAAAGGAAAAAAAAAAGTGAGGTAAACATTGTTTTGAACTGCCCATCAATATGGGATGCTTACCAGCTGAAGAAAGTTGCTATGTAAAAACAAAAAACAAAACAACCTACTGCTGGTTGAAATTATAGCACAGGAAAAACTTGAAATTATTTTCATATTTTAATCCATTGTTTTCATTCCAAAAAGAAATACAAAATTGGATTTTTACTGTTCCTCAGATTTAGTCAGGCTGTAAGATACACACTCAGGTTGAAGCCTGTTCAACCAGGTTACATTTGCATCAGCCTTCAAAGCATCAGATGGGAGCTGGATCTGCAGTTGCTGGAATGAAACAATTGGTGCTGAGCTCCCAGCACCCACCCCACAGTCCTTTTCCTGCAGGTTTGTTTTCCAGCTTTTCCTGCAGGTTTGTTTTCGTTACAGCTGGAGTGCAGAAGGTTCCCTTCCACAGAGCATTTCCCCTTTCCGGTTTATTTTGAGACTCCATAAAATTTAATTTAATTCATTATCTGAAAAGTGGTGCATTTCTAAATGAAAACTAAATTGCTTTCCATTTAGTTTCACAATGATGGCTCCATCAGAAAGGTTCTGCCAGTTCTAGTTTAGAGTTTATGCTGGTATATGGACTGTGGAAGATGAACCCTGCAGTGGGACTGGGAATGGACTGGTTTGGTCATTCCTAATTTCAGCATCTTTAATTAAAATAAGGCTAAGAAACATATTTTGAGAAGATAAGGAAAGAAGGTAATGTTGAAAAGAAGATTTTTAGTTTTATTTTTAATTCCAGTGTTAGGGCTAGTGGTAATTGCTTGCACTGTAATTGCCATATTTCATGCAGTTTGGGATTACAAAAGAACACATATCCATGTCACATTTAAAACGAGTCTGTTGTATTTCATGTCTGAGCAAAGTGCCCGAGACTGCTGATTAATGCTGACTCTGCTCGAAGTGGAGTCACAGTGGAGTGATTTGTAGTTTAAGCAGCCGCTTTGGTATTTTGCCTCCGCGCATCCGAGCTGGGCTGTAGAATGCCCGGAGCACTTTTGTGACCCCTTTTGAGCAGCCAGCAAGGATCCCATGTGCCACCTGCCTGCTGGGGTGCCAGGTGCGTGTGCTGGCTCCAGCAGCCCAAGGGGACGAGCAGGGCAG